TCTTGCCATGCAAGACCCTGAGGGCCCCCCATCTTCAAACGTCAAAAGCATTTTTCTCCATGGTTGAAATACGTTTTAATGGTTTCACTTTGATAACGATCGACAGCCGCCCATCAGAGGCTGAGCTCCTAATTCAAGGAGACCAATGATTAAATAAACAATAAAGATAAAGATCTTTTGATGACATAAGGTCCTTAAAAGCTCTTGGTCTGAGTCTGGCACACGGTGGGATTCCTAGTATTTTTTTTCCTGGTTTCATTGGAAGGCGACCTGATGGACTGTAATTTTTCTTAAGTGCCGGCTTAAAGTCACTGCATCTAAGATGGCAGTGGGGGGAGGGGAGACACTGAGACAAAGCGTGGGAGAAACCACTGAATATTCATGAAAAGAGCCAGCATTTTGTGAACTTAGGCTGTATATGATGTATGTCCTCTCCAGGCTAGATGACAAAAAGAATGAGGGAACTATCACTTCTATTATAGAGGCTTTTCTTTGCTGAGAAGTTTCAGGGTGACTCTGATGACATTTTTTTTAATTCAAAATTAAAAAAAAAATGTTTTCATATCCCTGGGGTTGTAGAAAAAGGGAACTGCTAGTGGGATTAAATCCTGCGCCTGCTTGGCAATATTTTGCCTTGTATGCCCCAGCTGAAGAGTTCTGTCCTAGGGTTTTATTCCTACACCACCACCGCCAACCCTTCAGCTGCCTGTCTCTGTCCCAAAGCAAACCTTACACACACCAGCTGGTGGTTCCACAGCACCTGGTGGGGAGATCCCAGTTTCTCTGCTGAAAGGTTCCAGAGAGGCCATCTGACCTAAGTCAGTGGTTCACAACACTAGCTGCATTCTAGAATCGTCCACAGAGCTGTAGCCATGCCTGGGCTGCACCTGGAGAGTTTCTGACATCACTGGGCCAGGGTAGAGTCCTGAGCATGGATAATTTTACAAAGCCCCTTGTATAGCCAGGGCCAGGACTGAGAACTACTAGCCTGAGCTTTCCACCAGGACTCAAATATCATTTGAGAAATGAAGTGGGGAGAAGTCTTAGAAGATGGCACAATTCAAAAGAAAGAAAGAGACATAACGGTGGTCGTTTCTCTCATTGGATGTCCTCCCTCCTGGGAACATGAACAACAAATATTCATAAGTGCTAACTCACTCACAGTCCTGTGGGAAAGGAAGTTTGGTGATGGGCAGGCTCTGAGCAGAGTGCCTGAGGGTGACCCCTACCCCTTAAGATACGGATTCACCTTCCTGTTGTTCCAGAGATGCTGGGGCACCACTCCTAAGATACGGCAACTAACGTTTGGTAGTGCTTCTCAATCCCATGTGCATTACCCTTTGATTCTCCCGATTAGCCTGTAAAAGGAGGGATTATCAACCCCATTTTGCAAATGAGGAAATTGATGTCCAGAAAACTTAACGGACTTGCCTAAAAGATTACAGCCAGGGAATGGTAGAGCTGGGACTTCAGTCCTAACATTTATGGAGCATTTACTATATGCTAGGACTCAGGATGGGTATAAATTATATAATTATGGAATTATAAATTCCCCAATTACTTCTCACTTCAGTGACATAATCTTCTGCTATTTGTTTCTAGCATTTCTGTGGCAGAATCTTATTTACTCACTAATACCCATTCTTTTTTCATATTTTGCTCAGGGCTGCTGTGTGCCATGTGCCGGGCTCTCTTTCCAGCTTCCCTTGCAGCTAGGAGTGGTCACGTGACACCATTCTGGCCAATGAGATGTAAGGGAAGTCTACTGCATTCCTTAATCCAGTTTCTCTTCTCCATGGCTGTAGTAGCCATTGTGGGATCTTGATAGGACAAGCATGAAGATAAAGGTGAAAATACCCAGAATGACAGAGCAAAGAGATGCCTGGATCCCTGATTCATCCCTAAACTGCTGGATGCCTACCTCCAGGCTTCTGGATGATGAGAAAAAAGAATTTGTTACTATAGATTAGGTTTTCACAAGTTGTGGCCAAATGTCTTCCTAAGTGATACAGTTTCCCACATGCCCTTTATCATTGCTGTTCTTTTCCTTTACAGTTGAACACGCCACCCACCAGCTGAACACCAGCCAGTACCTGACTGAAGCTGAAGTTTAGCCAAGAGGGGACACTGAATCAGTGTCTCAACTGTATTACCTTTGAGACCTATGGCATGTTGTCACCTGAATCAGCACTTTCATTTTCCAGCTTCCACTTGCTTTTATGAGATCAGGGCAAATGCAGGAACACAAACAGCCGTGTAAACACGCCCCCCAAAAGATGGCAACACTGCCACAACTCAGCCAACACTGTGCTTCAGCAGATGAGGGAAACCGGGATTCACTGCGGGAAGGTGGGTTGCATCAAAGTCTGGCCGTCTGAAAGTCAAATGCACAGAAGTCGAGACTGCCTGTATTTACTCCACCGGCAGCCTCTCCAGATTTCTTCTTTTTTTTTAAGTTTCCAAATCATTTAGCTACAGCTGAGCTACAAACTACCACTAACTCAGTGGCTTAAAACAATGTGTTCATTTTTGCTTCGAGTCTATGGGCCAGCTGGGTGGGTCTGCTGATCTGGGCCAGGCTCGGCTGGTCTTGGCCAGGCTCCTTCAAGTGTTTCAATCATTCTGTTGTCTGGTCAGTTGCGGGGGAGAAGGGGAAACGGAGCTGGTCTGGGATGGTCTCGGTCGTGTGTCAAAGGCGGCTGTCAGCTCTGGCGACAGGATCACGTGGTCCCTCATCCTCCAGCAAGGCCAGTTATTCACGTGGGGGCAGCAGGTTTCCAAGAGAACAATCAGAGGCAGACAGGCCTAGGCCGGGAACTAGCACAGTGCCCCTCCCGCCACATTCTACTGACTAAAGAAAGTCACAAAGCCATTCCAATTTCAACGTGTAGGTAAAAAGGCTTCCTTCGTGACGGGAGAGACTGCAAAGTCACTTCGCCAGGGGCAGAGGTATAGGAAGCTTTGGAGAACAGGGGCGGCTACTTTTGTAATCAGGCTACACGGTACCCAGAGTAAGAGCTTTTCCTACAGGGGAACACCATGGGCAACAAGGAGCAAGATAAACAAAATCTGGGTAGCAGAGAGATGGTTGGGTGGACAAAAGGGAAATGCACCCTGCAGAGGAGGAAGAATGAGCCCAAAGGGAGCAGAGGAAGAGGTTGGAGACACTGACTAAATGAAAATTCCACCCCGAAAACTGCTTCCACACTGACGCACACTGCGTGCCTAATGTGCGGCAAGTCCTTTGCAGGCACAATCAACTTAATCTCATTCACTCCTATGAGGGAGGTCCTATTATTAATCCCATTTTATAGATGAGGGAATTGAGGTCCAGACAGGATTGGGTAACTTGCAGAGAGACACACAGATGAGAAGTGCAGGATGCAAGACTTGAAGACAGGCCTCTTGGTGTTAAAGTGCTGGCCCTAACATGACACTGGTCTGTCTCCAGAGTAACTTGTGTCTCTGTCCCCACTCCCCTGCCTGGGCCTGGACCACTGCAGCATCTGATGATTTCCAGTCTGATTAAGTCCAGCCAACTTTTCCGTAAAAGGCCAGATAGTAATTCTTTTCAGTGTTGTTTTGCAATTACTCAACCCTGCTAATGGAGAGAGAAAGCAGCCAGAGCAGTATGTAAATGAATGTGTGTGGCTGTGTTCCCATAAAACTTTATTTACAAAAATAGAAGAATTGCCACCCCCTACTCAACCCATTCTCCACCTTGCAGCCAGAGTGGGCCAAACTCAAATGTGACCTTGTCATTCCTTCCTAAGGTGGACTGCCAGTATCTTGGGGACCAGTCCAGACTTTCAGTGTGGTTTACAAACTTGTGATCAAAGAGTGGCCCCTGCATCAGTGGCATTGCCATTATCTGTTAGGAAGGCAGGCTCTCAGGTCACACCCAGACCTGCGGAATCAGAACTTGCATTCGGACAAGACGCCCAAGTGGTTTGCACATTCGAGTTTGAGAAGCTTTGGCTTCCAGAACCCCTGTGCCCTGGTGCCTTCCTACCTCTCCCACCTCATCCTTTGCCCCCGGAGCCTCCTCGCTCCTGCCCACCCCCACCTTCCAGCCAAACTGACTGCTCCTGTCACCTCTGTGTCCGATGCATTCCTCTCCAGCCCAGCTCCCTTCACGCAGCAAACTCCTATCTATCTCTGGATCTCAACTGCGACACTTCTTCCGAGCAGCCCTCCTCCCTGAAACCCCCGACTGCATGAGGTGCCCCTCTTCTGCGCCTCCAGACCCCTCCCCCACCTAGCACCCACCACACTGCACAGAAATGACTTCTTTAACTGCCTGCCCTCTTACAGCAGTTTGTGAGCTCATGAGAGGCCGTATCTGTGGTTGCCTCTGTGTGTCCTCAAAATGCCTGGGGACAGTAGCCACTCAAGAACTAATTGTTGAAAACTAAACACAACACAGCCCGCCACACCTTTCCCCTGGGAGAGTGCTCTCCACAAGCAGTTTAGCCAGCCAGTGGCTGCAGGTTTCCCCAAACCTCCACCTGGCTCTGAGGCTTTGAAGAGTCCTACGTGGCCTCCAAGATTCCATCTCTCATGAAGCCTGGTGGGTTTTCGTATTAGCAAATGTTTACCATTTGGAGAGGACCTGGGGGCCTAAGAGATTTCTGGGCAAAATTCTTGAGCTATAAATTAGCCACAGGCCAAGACTTGAGTTGTGTTTGGGCTGGTGTGTGAGAGCCGAGGGTGGAGGGGGTGGAGGTGGGTGACAGAGGAAGGGCAGGGCCAGAATGTTCTCGATCAGAAAAAGACTTGAAGGCAGGCCCCCGGGTGCCTACAGAGCCATGAACTGGCATCCTTTCCCACCTGTGTACGGTGCCAATTCTGTACAATGATCCCAGCTTTGCTGTGTGGAAAAAAGTCCCATACACCCACTCACTGAAAGCAGGTGGGCCTGTGTAAGGAATCACAAGCCAGTGTAGCCACAGGCTGCTCTCCAGGAAGACGACAACCCTCCCCAAATCTGATGTTCAGTGCACAGGTTTCTACAAGTTCCTTTATTAATAAAGCAAAGTATGAAAGAACAAGGTCCCCAAATGACCCATATGATTAAAAGTGCAAATTTACTCCAACCTGAAATAGAAAACAAATGGCCGGCCTCGACTATTGGGCCGTGGAAATCTGGTGTGATTAGAACGCCTTTTAATCACACAACTGTAGCAGCTGAACCATACTTGATTACCTCTTTGGTCTCTGTTATTGGAACAAAACATACACTATGACCACAGCCAACAGACTGCATCATAATACACAGTTTGGGGTCAAAATCCACACTAAAAATAACAGTAAAATAAGAGGAATGTTTTAAAGTCAAGTGACTGAATCAACGCTTTTTTTTTTAAGCAAAGGGTGCTAAAAATATTCCTGAATATCTGATACTTCAAAAACCAGATTACATATAATTTAGCTGCATGTTTTAGTCTGTTCTCTCTCTACTGATGTTCACATACATCTTCGTCCTCTCCCACCTTATACTTGCTTCATCCCCACCAAATCATGTGCTATGTAGGTACCGAAAAAATAAACAGTAGTGTCTAAGAAATAGACATGCAATTTTTTATAAAAACTAACAAACGCCACAATGATAACACTGAACTTTTTTCCTTCCCAAGGGATACTGGGAATGTTCACCAGGTTCATTTTTCCCACCACTGGGGAGGGAGGTAATAACCTTCCTCCACGTGGATACGATAAGTCATCGTCACGGTCAAATGCCACATTTTACGGAAAAGGTGACTTACTCCATGAGGTTAAAGGAGACACTTTGGAAGGCTATTAGTTTCATTCCTTCAGAAGGCTAGGATGTCAGTTTTGGTGGGAGCCACGGAGTCAGAAAGGGATAGAAACATATGATCAGAACAGTTCTCTTGGCACTGGGGCTGGTAACAAGCCTAAGAAGCTTGGCTGGGAGACCCAGCACCACTTTGCCGGTGTTCACGGCCACCAACCATCATTGCAAAGGCTAGGAAACTACTAAAAAAAATAATAATTAATTTAAAAATAAAATACAAATAAAGAAGAAAACAAGTTATTCTGCAATCCTTCCTGATCACTCACCTGCAGACTCTGACAGAGCCAAGGAGTTTGGCCCCAACTCACCAGGAAGGAAATGCCAAGAGCTGGCCCCTAGTGGTCTGATGTCCCATCTGACTCCTACGGGTCCAGGGTGGAGAATCCTTCCGGGAATTGTGAGTTAAGTGTTATCTGTGGCCGTGTTAATTTGGGGGGTTTGTTTCTACAATAAAGCTTAGCTCTGAGCGATAAAGCAGACTTGAAATATCATGCCCCCCCACCATGTATAACAACATCATATCCATAACAATAAATATAACCTTATACATACTTGAGGGGTTACCGTCTAAGGCAGGGGTCGCAAACTGGTGGCCCCCAGGCTCAAGCAAATGTGTTTTTTGGCCCACTTGTGTTTTGGATATTTTTTAATTATGTTGTTTAAAAATCAGAAAGTTTCTTTTTTTTTTTTTCTATTTCCAGCCCCACCCTACCCTTTTCCCCGCATGGAGCTGAGCCACGTGGCCCCTGAAGGCGGCACAGCCCCCCATCACCACCCAACCCTTCTCTTATTTACCTCCCTAACTTGCTTCTGCAGGCTGCTGAGTTTGCGACCCCTGGCTTGAAGTAGCACATATCTAGAAAATGTGTTTCCTAACCCAGACCTCTCTCGCACCCTCACGTGATTTCCGCCCCACCTCCCCTCCTGCCCAGCTCTTCGTTTCACGTCCATCTTAAGTCCTCCTTCCTGAAATCTTCGGATTTCTCTTGGTTTGCCCACATTTTCCCTTTTAGCTTCAGTTTCATTTTGCAAAAACACAGTCTCCTCCTCTCAGCCCACGAGCATTCCGGGATGACTCCCAAGACTGGTCAGTGGGAGTTACTGAAGGGTGTCTTAAGGCAAAATGGCTGAGTCATCTCCCCAAACACTTTCTTCAGACACTGGCTGGACAGTTAATCTTTTCTTAAACGCACGAACAATTCTGAGCTTTCTTGTATGAGAATATTTGCAATACATGAACCTCCAGTACCAAGTATACACCAAAAATGTATATATTTCAGATCAAGGACATGATGGAGCCCTAATAAAATACAGAATCGAGCTTAATTTAAGTGCCTTGGGCAACCATCACACCTGACTAATGCGCCGTATTATTTTCTTTGTACACAGTACATGTTTTGGATTACTAAACATTGATCAAAATTGATCGAAATCTCTAAGTTTTTGGTTACCATGTACAGAGAACAATTGCTCAGCATGGCATTTAAATAAAACATTAATATTTTAAAAATTCACAAACACAATGCCCCATTCATTAAAAAAAATAAAATTTAAAAATCTTGAGGATGGATGAGGCTTTGGGTAATTAACCTGAAAAAAAAAAAACCCACAAAGAAACTACAAGAACTGTATGTTACCAGATTCAAAGTTCAAAATGCTATTCAGATAAAAGAGGAACCTATCAACTCAGCTAGAAATATTTGGAAAATTCAGTTTTTAAAGCTTTATAATCCCTCTAATAGCCTCGCCTTCCCCCACTCCAACTACTGGGGAAATTGTAGCTGAGTATGGAAACATTATAAATATATATATTTATATAAAGATCTACCTACTCTTGGAATTTATTTTAAAAATAATTATAAAAAACACTGTGCAGTTTATATCTTCGCAGGAAGTTGGTAGACTGATTCCTGTGCTAAATGCAGTACCTTATGACCTAACACTGACCTCAAAAGCTAGGAATGACTTTGTGGAATCAAGGGGAAATGTCCCCAAACAACCTCAAAGACACAGCACAACATTTGCAACTGTTTCTCTTACAGCCCAAGGTTGCAAAGGACATAAGAAATCTCTGTAGCTCTGATGAGAAGGATTCCCTATAAATCATTTATTCACAACGATTTCCCCACAGTGGCCAAGCAGGTCCCCTAAAGAAAGAAAGTTTAAAGAGTTCCCTCAAAATAGCTCAGAAATTAAACAATGGCCCAATTCATGTGGCTACTTCTGTCTTCCAAGTTTTACCTTTAAGAGTCTCTGTTAAAAAAAAAAAAAAAAATCCCAAAGCTATAAAAATCCCAAAGTATATCACTGGGATTGGCTGCATTTTCTATTCAGCAGATGATGGACCATTCTAAACTTCAACTGAGTTTTATGTCGACTGATGCAACTGAGAGCTGTTAGAAATTTGGGAGGACGGTGAGGGATTTCAGAATGCGCTAGCTGCAAAATACACCCAGCCTGGTGATATTTATGCCCAGAGAGAAGAAAGAACAGACAGCTGACAAAGGATGTCTCCCTCCATCTCCCCCTAACTTGCCCTCCTCTGCTGTCTTTCTCCTCTGTCAGCTGATTGGGAAATAACTGATCTTCAAGCACAGAGCCCAAGATACTGAACTCTAAGTGAAATGCATTGCAAGACCTGTGCTGAATCAACCACTCCTCAAAGGTGGGCTTCGGGCCAGTTAAAGGCCGCTTGGGCAATGAGAGCAAAACTTCCCAACTACGGAGGATCACTGAGCATTGGCTGAAAGCAGGCATTGCCTCTTCATTATCTCATCAAACTCAGAAAGAAATCTCCATGCAAAGGGGTTTGCCAAAAAGACTTAAAACAAAACAAAAAAAGGTTTCTGTCTCCAGCCAGCAGCAAGCCCTGCTGAGACATCTTGCTAGGCAAAGAGTGAAATATCAATACATCTTTTTCGAGACCCAACATGTTTCATGCCCTCACCGGTGTTGTCAGAAGCACGTATCCTGTTGCCACTCTGCACTGTGACTGGCTCACAGCAGACGCTCAATGAATCAGCGCTGACTGGTGCACATCCCAGCGCGTGCCTAGAGGGACGTTGAGCAAGCCTGCTCCTCAAGACTGCACCTTTCTTAATAGTCGATGTAACTGGCCTCCCTTTCAGATGCCACACTTGGCACTAGCGATTACCACAAAATGAAAGAACTTATCAAAATAAAGTGCTATTTGCTCTGGAAGTTTCACTAACCAACTCCCGACTGCCTTTCAACACCTGTGACTTAATTCTTCATAATCCTCTCAAACACCTGTGATGGGCCTTTAAAAAATACATTAATACCAATTTGAACAGTGGAAACTATGTTCTTCAGAACATAAGCCTCTAGAATAGAACTACAATTCCAGTTGTAGATCAAGATTCAGATTTTTAAAAAGACAATCAGGAACCCAGGACCTACCAAGTAGTTGTGTCAAAAACCATTAGCTTCTTTAAATTTGGGGGCCAGAGAGATCTGTCTAAACAACCCACAATCCCTTCCTTTACTGATCCTCCCTAAAAGCTGGATCCTTCTACAGAATCATTCCACACAAACCAACATTTGGACCAACTCTTAGCTGCTAACGTTGAACGTCTTTCCGTAGCTTGCCCAGGACACTCTGGTGGGCGTGAAAAAGATGCCACAGCTATCTGGATTGTGGAGCCAGGGGGTGACGCCGAAGCCACCAAATGTCATCCTCTGAATGTTCCAACACCTTCTGCAGGTCATCTTCCTTGCCTTAAACTGGCTTCACTGCCATCCCCACCCCCACCTGGTGGGTGGGGCTTCAGGAGCACCAGGCCAGGCTGGGGCTCTGGCAGGGTTTAAGGTTCATCTTCAGGGAACCCCTGGGGGCGCTGATTCCGGGGTGGGGGACACCTGGCAAGGTAGCGGGGACCCCCATAGGCCCGGAGAAGCTGGGGCAGCCTTCGCCACGTGGACAGCAACCGTGCCGCTGCGAGTTCCCGGGCCTGCCTGTCGAAAGTGGCCAGGAGGTCAACCGGGGTGGCTTCACGCAGTACCTTGGGCAGTGGGCCCACCTCGGCGGCCGCCCCTCCAGGGCCCAGGAGGCAGTGGAAGAGTGTACGGCGTCGCAGCAGGCAATCCCTGAGGAACTGTACTAGCTCTTCCAAGCGCTCGCCCAGGTGCGCCTCGTCCCAGCCTTGTGTGGGAGCCCCCTGGCGTAGCAGCGCCGCCAGCAGCACTGTCTTGAGCACGTATGAGGATAGGATGCGTCCCCACTGGGTGGCGGCCGTCGGGTCCAGCCCGCGGGCACCCAGGTCTCGCAGAGCTTTAAGCAACTGCAGGCACTTGAGGTAGCAGGCACCTGGAGGGGCCCTTTCCTGCAGCCAGCTCAGCAGCTTCTGCTCCTGGCGCGCCGTGTTCACACCCCACAGTGCATCGGCGCGCAGGCCTCCCGGGAGCTCCGACAGGGGCCCGACGGGTGAGGGTGGCAGTGGTGGGGCCACCAGGAAGACGCTGTCGCCCAAGTGGACGGCAGGGATGAGACGCACGGCCATGGAAAGGCGGCAGCAGCCGTAATCGGTGCGGCAGGGGAGGACGTGTAGGGTAGGGGGCTGCTCCAGGCCGCCTGGGGTCAGGCTGACCCGACAACGCCCCTCCAGGCTGTAGCGCACGGTGGCCAGGGAGCGCTGCAGGTGCGACTGAAACCAGCGCAGTACCAGCGTAGCCGAGAGATGGCGCCGCCCGCGCACATCCACGCAGAAGCCGTCGGCGAAGGCTTTGCAGTCCCGGAGCCAGTGGCCCCCGGAAGCCCCTGGCGGCGCCTTCAGTGCGCACACGAAGCAGCCGTGGAAGGCTGGGGCCAGCGCGGGCTCCGCGCCCAGGCTCCGCGGCTCCAGCGCCACCAGGGGAGGGAGGCGCAGCGGCACCAGCACGTCGAAGCCGTCGGGCCGGCGGATTTTATGCTGCTCGTAGGCACTGCCTACCTGGATGAAATCTCCGCGAAAGGCCAAGGCCAGCGCTCCCCCGGGGATGGGGCCTGGGGACCCTCGGGCGCGGCCAGCCCGCACCAGCTCGCCCACGATCCGGCTCACGTGTGCTTTGCTGTGGCCCAGCACGTGCGGCGACAGGCGCACCTCGTGCTCGTAATAACTCTCCAGCAAGATGTCGAGGCTGGGCTCTCCTAAGTGTCTAGGAGAGAAGGCGGAGTGGCCCCCCAGGCGGGAAGACCCCGGCAGGAAGCGCTGCCGGACAGCGTGGCGACAGCGCAGGAGGATGTAGCCGAGGAGCAGCAGGACGGCCACCTTGAGCAGCGGGAAGCCGCCGTCCGCGCCTTCGGGGGGCTCGGTCCGGGCGTCCCCGCTTCCCCGCAGGACATGGTAGAGGCACACGAGGGCGGTGCACAGGCCAGTCACCAGGGGCCAGAAGACGCGCAGATTCAGGGTGTAGTGCACCGACATGCCGGGCGCCCGGGGCAGCGGCGGCCGAACAGCCCAGGGCGCGAGCCCCGGCGGCGTCCCAGGCCCAGCATGCGCGCAGCGCCCGGGCAGCCCCGCTGTCCCGGTTCCCTTCGCCTCCGCGGCGGCGACCCCGTCGCAGGGCCGGGGAAAGCAGCCCTCCAGCTCGGCCTCCTCTCCCAGCTCAAGCGCTCCTTCCAGCAGCGGCCCGCCCTGCACGCTCCAGCTCCCAGCCGCGCCCCGTGCCGACTGCGCGCTGCGTCCGGCCCGCCGGCCCTCCCCGCCCCGCTCCCCGGCGCGCTGCCTTCGGCCAGCTTCTGGTCCCGCTGCGCTCGCCTCCTACCTCGGGCCGCCCTCCCGGCGCCGTGGGTCCCCGGAGTCCCCCGCTGCTCCCCTCCGCTCTTGTTCCCGTTACTCTGCCACGGGAGTTTCCTCTTCCGAGGGGAGGCGAGGCCGCGCCAGCTAGCGGGGAGGAAATGCCGAAGTCTAGAGCCGCGAGGCGAGCGGGCGGGCGGGGTCGGCCCCCTCCCGGGCCTCCGCCTTAAAGCGACGCGAGGCGGCGGGAGGGACTTCAGGACGCGCTGGCAACTGGCCTCCCGCGGTCCACCCCTATCCTCCCTCCCCGAAGGCAGAACCAGGAAGGCTCTGATTGCGGGGCGGTAGCCTTGTCCAGGGAGCTTCTGCAGTTGTATTCACACAAAGTTACACTGGGAAGTTGAAAGGAGGGAAAAAGAGCGCACGACGGAACCGTCCATCCCCCGCCCCCCCAGCAAGTCGTGGTAGCGTGGTGTTGGTGGCGTGGCAGGCCCTGGAACGGAAGCTGCCCTTGCCAGTGTGCCGCTGTCCTTCATTCAAACCAGTAGCTACTGAGCACCTACTATGTGCCAGGCGGGAGACCAGGTGCTGGCGAAATAGCAGTTGACAAAATAGACAAGGCTTCTGCCCTCCATAAAGCTTACTGCCTTTTGAGAAAAGGAAACCGAAAGACAAGGGATCCACAGCAGAAAATGCTCTGAAAGAAGCAAAACTGTGTGAGGGAGTGTGAAGGTAGGGGCTGCCCTGTGGAAGCCTGAGGCTCTCTGTGGGTCTGAGACCCACAGTTGGTCTGAGACCTGGATGAGGAGGATCCAGTCTTGAAGTAATAATCACAGCCTTTACAAAGGTCATACTGTGTGCCAGTACTGTGCTGATCACCTTACACATTCGCTCCCCAGTTCATCCTATGAAAGGGACACTATTACTTGCCCCATTTTTCAGATGAGGAAACTGAGGTGCAGGCAGGTTCACCCCTTGCCCAAAGTCACACAGCTTTTAGCAGAGCTGTACCTTGAACACCTGTCTCCAGAGAAGCTGGGAGGCAGGACTCAGGGAAGGGGACTGGGGAGTCCCTTCCTCAACTGCTGAGAAGTGTCCTTTGTCAGGACCTACCCTGGGACCTCAGGCCAGGAAGCTTTGTTTTGTTTCATAACAGGGAGCGCTCCCTGAAATGATCGGCATTTATTTAATTATCCGAATTTATTTAAACAATTAACTGTACTTATTTACACTTCTTGAACCTTCCTTGCTCCCGGAGAGCAAGGGTAAACAGATTTAAAATGTCAGAACCCACATGCCATCTGGGAATCAGGACTCAGGGGATGCTCCTGGCTTAAGCACCAAGATGACTCCCAGGAAAGCCTCTCAGAGCTGAGCAGAAATGCTTTCAGATCCCCATTCCCACTACTATTAGCTGTGAGATCACGGTCTATTAGTCAGGATTCTTCGGGTTGCAGGTGACAGAAACACAGCTTAGAAAGCATTTTATTGTCGTATTAACTGAAACGTCCATGGGGCTCCTGCTTCAGCATGGCTGGATCTAGGTACGCTCAATCCACTTCTTAGCCCTGCTTTCTTCTCAGTGGGCTGCACTCTCAGCGAGCCTCTCTCCATAGGCCCCTGGCTGCTCTAGCCTTATATTTTCCTCAATGAAGAGGAAAAGAGAGCTTCAGTTGCCCGAGAGTTGCAGCAAATGTCATGCCTAGGGATAACGTTGGGTCCTACTCTAAAAGGGACCAAGTAAGAGAATGCACTGATTAGCCTGGCCTAGGGTGGTGTGTGGACTGAAATGTGTCCCCTCAAAATTCGTATGTTGAAGCCCTTTTTTCCCCAAATTAAGTTCATATTCACAGGTTTCAGGGGTTAGGATGTGAGCAAATATTTTTGGGGAGCCACCCTCAGTAAATGATGTACTGTTATTACCGTTACTATCTTTTCTGCCTGTAATCAGTTTCCGTAGCTCATTTCCTCCAGAGAGTTCAAGGTACAGACCTCAGAACTTTGCTCTTGGAAAAATCTACTGTATGTTTCAGAGCAAGTACAAATTCATTTATTCATTAATTTATTACCCAACATACCATGTGCCAGGCAGAGGGGGATGTGACGGAAAAGAGGGGGCTCTACACTTATGGACTAAAACGCCATACAGTGTGGAGTCAGAAAACTGCCACTGTTTCATTGACTTTTGATCATTATTTCATTAAAAATCTCCTTTAATGTTTAATAGTTGACAAAGGCCACTCCTGGGTTTTTTTAACAGCTCAGCAAATATATATACACACCCCTCCCAACATTTCTGATATCCCGGAGGTGTGTCCTGTGGAGGAAGAATGGCAACATTGATGAGGGGAAAAGGGAACGAGGTGGTGACATTTCCCATGGGAGGCCCAGGGAAGGCTCCTGGGAGGGAACATCTGATCAGGCTTTGAAGGATGGGAAGGGACAGTGTGTTTGATAGCATGTCTGATATTTCCACTGCAAACATTTTCATCACATAACTAATTGGCCTTAAGGCAATGTTGCTGTAAAAGATAAAATAATGAAAACCAAAAGAGGAGCATTAAAAAGGACATAATGAAACATGAGAAATGAATAACAAAATTAAAAAGACTTTATTGTAAAATGCAAAAATATTGAGTACATTTAAAATGTGTGTCAATTTATGGCAATACTGCACAGATAATTGATTTTGTTCTGTAAGTTGTACCTAAGCAATTGCCTTTCAAGTCTTTTGTTTATAGTATTTTAGAGATATTTTGCTTTTGACTCATCTCCCCATTCAGCTTTGCACTTTTTCTCTAAAATTTCTTCCATCCTTAAGAGGGGCATCAGCTTCCAAATACCGGGATGCATATTTGCACCTGAGCCTTGTATCGAGTTGGGAAAACTGTTTGTTTTTGGCAGGTTGTCACATGTCTACTGATAGACGTTCCAAAGTTCTATGAAAGGTGTAGGTTCAACTCTGTGCCTTCAAATCACTGAAGGATCTGCAAACTGATATGTTATCATTTTCTGGTACAGTATGTGCTCTGGCATACTATCTTACTTCACACTTCCAGTAACTTTTATCACCATATTTTCTATCAAGTTCACATATGTAGTTGTTATCATCCTCTATTTTAAGACCGCCACGTCTACTCATCACTGTACAAACCATCATGAGGGCTGAGATTGATGGAATATTAAAATGAGAGTTCTATGTCAGTGGAGAAATAAAACCAAACTGTCAACCAATTGAAAGCAAACTGTCAAACAAAACTGTCATCCAGTTATTTTATCTTTTACAGCAAAATTGCCTCATGACCAATTAGTTACGCAGTGAAAATGCTTGTGGAAATGTCTGTGCAAAGATGCTTGAGGCGTGAGTCCCGGGAGCCCTTTGAGAAATACCGTGTGCCTCCTGGACGCAGCTCTTCCCCTGTGGTGGCTCCTGAAATGCTCAGAACCAGGCCAGTGAGGGAGGTGCTGCTATCAATGCCATTCTACATACGGGCAAGGTGAGGCAGAGAGAGAGCAAGAAACTTACTCAGAGTCACACAGCTGGCAAGGCTGACTCCAGGGCTGGACTCTGAACCCCTCTGCTTCACTCCCTTTCACATTGTAAAGGGTTTTACAGGCACATCTCGTTTTACAGCACTTCGCTTTGCTGTGCTTCATGGATGTTGCATTTATAACAAACAAGGTTTGCGGTCACCCTGTGAGCAAGTCTGTCGGCACCATTTTTTCCAACAGCATTTGCTCACTTCGTGTCTCTGTCACATTTTGGTAATTATCACAATATTTCACGTTTTTTAAAGTTTATTTATTTATTTCTGGCTGTGTTGGGTCTTCATTGCTGTGCGCGGGCTTTCGCTGGTGGTGGTGAGCAGGGGCCACTCTTCGTTGCCGTGCACGGGCTTCTCATTGTGGTGGCTTGTCTTGTTGTGGAGCACGGGCTCTAGGTGCACGGGCTTCAGTATTTGTGGCTCATGGGCTCAGTAATTGTGGCTCATGGGCTCTAGAGCACAGGCTTAGTAGCTGTGGCACATGGGCTTAGTTTCTCCGCATCATTTGAGATCTTCCCAGACTAGGGCTTGAACCCATGTTCCCCTGTGTTGGCAGGCGGATTCTTAACAACTGTGCCACCAGGGAAGTCCCTAAACCTTTATTATTATTATATTTGTTATGGTGATCTGTGATCTTTTTTTTTTTTTGGCGTGGTACGTGGGCCTCTCACTGTTGTGGCCTGTCCCGCTGCGGAGCACAGGCTCAGCGGCCATGGCTCACGGGCCCAGCCGCTCCACGGCATGTGGGATCTTCCCGGACCGGGGCACGAACCTGTGTCCCCTGCAACGGCAGGCAGACTCTCAACCACTGCGCCACCAGGGAAGCCCTGATCTGTGATCTTTGATGTTACTTCTTTGACTCACTGAAGGCTCAGATGATGATTAGCATTTCTTAGCAATAAAATATTTTTAAATTAAGGTATGTACATTGTTTTTTTAGACATAATGCCGTTGCATACTTAATAGACTACAGTATCATGTAAACATAATGTCTATATGCACTGGGAGATAAAAAAAAATATTCGTGTGACTCACTTTATTGCGATATTCACTTTATTGCAGTGTTCTGGAACTGAACCTGCAGTCTTTCTGGGGTGTGCCCGTATAGGACAGAAAGAGCGCATTCTGGGAAGGCAGGTTAATTTATGTTTGTCTCTAGCTCCCTAACCAAGTGATGAGATTCTTGGGGGCAGGGACATATTCGTCTTGGTATCCCCATCAGCCAACATCATGCCTGCTACTTTATAGAGCTTTATGGGAGGAAGGAAGGAAGGAAGGAAGGAAGGAAGGCAGGAAGGAAGGAAGGGAGGAGGGAAGGGAGGAGATTTTGACCAGCAGAAATTCAGGGAGGCCATTCCAGGTAATGGAAACAAAATGTGCAAATGCTCGAGGAGCATGTGACAGCTGGGTGAACAGGATGTCAATGTTGTTACGAAGTCTGGTGTTTGTGAATGGACACTGTGGCATTCACTGGCCAGCCATTCCAGCCTTCTTCCAACAAGCCTTCCACAGGCAGCAGTGGGGCCAGAGGCAGCAGCTCCCTTGGTGACCCAGTTCTGCTGTGTGGCTTAGGAATCTTTCCTGGAAGTTGGGCTCAGAGCCCTTTCCTGCAGTTTTCCCAGTGGTTCTGAAAGTATCTGTGATAAATGATCTGTTGCCGTTTTTTTAAACTTTCCTGTGTGTCCTACTGTGCTTGACTACTGCACAGCTGACGTCATGCAACTCAGAATATCCACACGGGTCTATCCTCTCTTCAGAGAGATGTGCCCATCAATCACTTTGGTGAATGCCAAGGCAAGGCCAAGTTGATGCAGATGTGCCTGAAC